TATATAATATATATAAATAACAATTCTGGGTGGAGCTAAAACTGTCTGCCTTAATAAAAGGGCACAATCCTTGGGGAGGGGTACTACTCACTAGTGACACTGACTTACCTTCCCCTCCATTATTATTTTTTTTTATTTTAAAGAAATTTTGCTTATGTATGATTTTAAGTATATTAAAAAATAGTGAACACAGGTGGTGCCTGTGGCTCAAAGGAGTAGGGCACCAGTCCCATAGGCCTGAGGTGGCAGACTCATACCCAGCCCCGGTCAAAAACTACAGAAAAAAAAAAGAAATAGTGTACAGTATGAATAACTCTTGTGTGTCCATTACCTTCCTTCCCTGCAACTATTATCAAGACATGGCTCAACTTATTTTATCTATAGCCCTACTTCCCTCTTGCCATATTATTTTGAAGCCATCATATTATTTCATCCAAAAATATTTCAGTTTATATCTTGATAAGAATTCTGTGTAGGCAAAATACCATAAAATTATCATATCTGATACGAAATTAATAATGACTATTTTATATCATCAAACTCTGTATTTAGATTTCCTATTTTGTTGGTTTGTATTTTTTGGTTTGTGGTGTGTATGTGTGTCAAGTGTAAGCTTACTTAATAGATGTTTCCGTATCTTTCTAACAAAAGAAAAAGAATCTGTGGCTTTCTTTTCTTCCTTATTATTTCAAGAGTAGGACTTTCTTATATTCATTGAATTGAAGCTGGGAGTACTTTTAGATCACCTAATAATCTTCTCATTCTGCAGATGATTGGACAGATATTTGGGGATGAAAAAAATAGGGATTGGATGGTCAGGCCTGGTGGCTCATGCCTGTAATACTAACACTCTGGGAGGCTGAGGCGGGTGGATTGCTTGAGCTCACAGGTTTGAGACCAGCTTGAGCCAAGGTGAAACCCCCATCTCTAAAAATAGCTAAGTATTGTGTTGGGTGCCTGTAGTCCCAGTTACTGAGGAGGATGAGGCAAGACAATTGCTTGAGCCCAAGAGTTTGAGGTTGCTGTGAGCTATGATGCTATGGTACTCTCCTGAGGGCGACTAAGTGAAACTCTGTCTCAAAAATTAAAAAAAATAAGGGTTAGTTATGGCTTCCTTGTTTAGGAGTCATAGGGCATAGAGTTCTGAGAAACATTGAATTCTAATGCTATATGAGTCCATAATGTTCATATGCCAGGTCCCCATCATTCTGCCAGATGCCCTTGTAAACCACAGGTCTCAAACTAGCAGCCTGTGAACCAAATATAGACCACAAATAAGTTTTATTTGTCCTGCACTGTTTTGAACAACAACAAAAAATAATTTGGCTCCAGCATTGAAAAAAATCCAAATAGTTTGCACTGAAGTATAGATTTCACGAAATGAGATGATCTGGTCTCATTTCACTTTCATGCCCATATGGGAATTATCAGTTTAAATAAAGCCCCTGCCACTTGTGTTTCTAGCAGATATTATATTAGGGTTACACTTGAGACAACCTAAGAATTCACCTTTCTTAACTCTCTTGATGGTGTGTCTCTAAGTGTATGATGAGAAAATTGTACTCTTGGAGAAATGGGGCAGCTATTTCTTACTAGATCCATTTCCCTCACATACATAAGTATTTTAATTTATGACCTCTAATCTAATCCATCTGGTCACAATTATTTCTCTTGCACCAGACTTTTTATAATTTCCCTTGTTGCGCTAGAGAATTTAAGATTTCTTTGCTGTCAGATCATATCATAAACACCTACACTATTTTCTTGTTTGTTTTTAGTTTTGTTCATTTAAACTCTTAACCCATAATTTTTGATGTGACTTATTCTTAATGGATTTCAAAATATATAATTAAAGGAGAGATACTCCTTTTTTTAAGGCAAGAAATTTCCCCCCAAATTGGTGACCTTTCGGACTGCATAAGACAGTCAAGAAGGAAGACTCTCCTAAATGGGATACCAGGAACTTCCCTCAAAGAAGCAGAAGGTGACTTTAGCTTAAAAGCTTTTCTCGTGGATTTTGATTTCTCCAGAGAAAGTATAAAAACAGGCAGTGGGCTGAAGGAGGACATCTGTAAGACTTGGGGACTGAAAAATATGGATTTTAATTCTCATCCTGCCATGTAGTTACAAAACTCTGACCTTTCTAAGGACTTTATCCTTATAGAATCTAGGTTTCAAAGCCAAAGTAATCTATCTTTGGGAGTTGTGATGATTTAGTGAGTTACTGGGACGTTGAACAAATAGCAGTTCTCTTCAAAGCTCATAAAAGAAGATAAGCAAGTATCCTTCCCTTGTCACTAGTGGTTTAGTCATTTTGGTCACTTGGTGGCAGCATTGAGATACTTTTTTGTTTTAAAATCTGAAAAAAAAATCTGTAACTAAAGAATAAAGGTTAATCGCAGAGATATTTAAACTGTTGAAAAGAACCCATCATCAACCTTTGATATTGGTGGCAATATCAAAGTCTGTGAGTGTTGCTGTTCATTACCATCTGAATGGTGCTCTGCTTTTGTCTTGAGCTTAACCAATTTCTTTAGAATTTGTATAAGCATTCTGTCCCCCTCAATTACCCATTTAGTGTGAGAACCTACATGTTGATGAGTCAGTCTCCTCTGGGCTTTGGCCTGGGCAGGTTTGAAAAATTAGCAGATAGTTGAGCTGTCCCATCTTTTCACAGACACTGCCATTCCCCACCCCTACCACCACAGCAAAATTGACCAAAGGGCTGGGTTCCTTTCACTTAGGTGCCTGCATTACTGTTTTAAAGAGTACTAGAGGAGCTCAGCTCCTTCAAAAATAATTCATTAGAACCTGCTATATTCCAGCCTAGGGCACACATACTTGGAAGTTGTTTACTACCTAGTAAGAGGAGCAGATAAGTAAACAGAAAACTGCAATGTGCTCTCCTTGCCAACAGTCTGAATTAAGAAGAGCACAGTGGGCTGTGGTTACCCTGAAGGTAATGTGAGTCTCCAAAGATAAATAGACATTTTTTACGTATGGGGTGGGGACAGTGTAGGCAGAGAGAATGGCATGAGCAGAGGTATGGAGGTCTGAAAAAACATGATGTAGGTAGAAAATTCTAAGCAATTTAGTATGATATGATTGTTCAGAGGTTAGCAGTTCCTAGAATAGAGGTCCCTGGAGAGGCAATATTAACAACAGATAGTCTATGGATGGGATGCCATACTAAAGCAATGTAGCTGTATTTGTTGAACATTTCTCTGAAGTGAGTACTGTTTTCCTTGGTGGGAAAACATGTTCAGAGAGAGTAGAGTAAATTAACATCCTCTGTTGCACAGCTGGTAAGCAGCAGTGTTGGAATATCAATCCCAAGTCAGCTTCAGAGCCTAAGTTGTGGGTAGGGGTTAAAAATATGGGTCAGGTTATTAATTATTACTTTGAAGACAACTGGTTTTGTCCTTTAAGTGATAGGGAGCCACTAAATGGAATTTAATTAAGGAAAGTTGCTAGGGTTCAGAAAATCTGAGATTGCAGGCCCTAGTTGGTAGCCAATTAATTGTGATCTTAGGCAAATCTCTTTTATTTTGGGAGCCTATTTTTTTATCTGTTAAATAAGGAAGAAGATCCAGGGCTGAAATTAAGGATCCCTTTTAGTTTTTTCAGGTTTTTACTTCTCTCACTGAGGATAGGGAAGGGGCTAAATTCCTGACTGAAAAGGCTGACAGGTACTCTCTCCTTGTGCTTTGTTGTTATTTGTTCATGTTTTACCCTTATATGGGTTCTTTACCTTACTTTGAGTGTCCTTTTGCTTCCCTCCTGCCTCTCCAAATACTGTGGGACTTCCCTTCACATCAAACTATCTCCAGTAACTCCTTCAGTGCTGCTTGCTAAGTTAGCTGTGTCTTACTTTGGCTGTATTCTTACTAGTTGTTACCTTTGTGTTCTTCCCATATATGCTCTGGTTGTCTTCTTTCCTTCTACTTTTTTAAATTTTGCCCACTATAGCATTGAATACAATCTTGGTTACGTATGGTGTTGCAGCAAGTAGTGTTAATCAGTTTCTTTTTCTTCTGGCAGTGTGTGTGAGCACAGCAAAGAAAATCTTATGACTCCTTCCAACATGGGGGTGATCTTTGGGCCAACTCTGATGAGAGCCCAGGAGGACACTGTAGCAGCCATGATGAATATCAAATTCCAGAACATCGTGGTGGAAATTCTAATCGAGCACTTTGGCAAGGTATGCATTTCTATTCTCTCCACCACTCCTGCAAACATATGACATTTGTTCTCCAACTGCCTTTTTTTTTCATTTTATTAAGTCAAATACATATTGATCATGAATACATTCATGCATATGTGGGGTACAATGTGCTGATTTTTTTAGTACAATCTGATGTGGTTACATTAAACCAATCAACATAGCTTTCACCTCATTTACTTGATTATTGTGCCAAAACATCTATGTTCTACACTTAATAGATTTGCCTTGTACCCTTGTCATATGCTCCACAGGTATGGTCCTGCCTTTTACACTCCCTCTGTCAAACCTCCCCCCTCCCCACCTTTCCCATTCCATTTCTCTCTTTTATCCTGGGCTATAGTTGTGTTCTATCTTTCATAAGAAGTTGTAAGTAAATATAAGTAGGTTTTGTAGAAGTACTGAGTACATTGGATACTTTTTCCTCCATTCTTGAGACATTTTACTCAGGAGAATATGTTGCAGATCCCTCCAGGTAAACATAAAAGAGGTAAAGACTTCATCTTTTTAAAGGCTGCATAGTATTCCATGGTATACATATACTGCAATTTATTCATTCATGGGTTGATGGGCACTTGGGCTTCTTTCATGACTTGGCTATTACGAATTGAGCTGCAATGAATAATATGGTGCAAATATCTTTTTTGAGAAGTTATTCTTGGTCTTTTGGATATACTCCTAGTCGAGGAATTGAAGGATCCAATGGCAGATGCAAGCTAGTAAGTTCCTTTTGGAAAGAAGTTTGGAGAACACTCAGGGATCTAAAAATTGATCTGCCATTGGATCCAACTGCCTTTTAATGTTGTATTTTCCTCCTTTGCTCAAATTGACAATGAGAGAAAATCCCATTATGACACAATGACATTTAATGGTAATTCTGATCTTGAGAAATTCATTCATTCAGTAAATATACTTGAGGATATAATGATTTGATTATCAGGTACCATGCTAGATGCTGTGGATATTGGAGAAGAAAAATTAACTGTCCATGCCTTTAAGGAGTTAACAATGTAGTCTAAGGATCAGTAAACAGAACAAAATGATAAATATAAAAGTAGTGTATGCACAATCAGACTGTATTGGGAACATATTTATTTTCTTAACTATTGGTAGGTTCTTGGCTGAGACTCCTATCACAAAACATAGATTAACAAGAGAAAATCACATAAATTTATTTAGTAAGTTTTACTCAGCATAGGAGGCTTTAGAATGAAGATGAAGAAACAGGTACATTTGTGCATTTTTTATACTAAGTTTGATTAAGAGTTGCATCTTAGCAAGATCTGTGTGTTCAGATTCTTCTTGACATTTCTGTGTCATGTAGGATAGGGATGCTTTTTTTCCTTCAGCTATAGTAAGTGTGCCTCTGGAATGAAAGTTTGTGACTTACTTTAGAGGAAAGTTAGAGAAAAATTTTTTGGGGGGGCATCTGATTCAGGGGTGAATCATTGGAGACGGTCATAAAGACCTTCTTGATTCTCCATAAATGCCATAATGCTATAATTTGGGATAGTGAGTCCTGACCCACATAAAAATCATAAAGAAATCAATATCTATACTTATTTCAACCTCATGTCACTCTAGAAGAATTTAAGTTGGTATATTTTATATTGTATATAAAACAGGGAGCATAGACAGAAATGAAGCCCAGAATGATGTTCAAACAGGAATTATTTATTGTTAAGTCCTACACATTTGCTACAGATCCCCTGCATTTGGTACAAGCTTTCTTACAGCTGGTGGAAGCATAATTCAACATAAATGGACAAGGAGGCAATAATAGTAGGCCTTGGTGATTGGAAGTGGAAGATATGGGGTTTTTGACTGCCTGACTGGTGTGTTTGGGCTGGCCTTCATACTTACAAGAAATATAGAATGAAAAAGTTTTGGGGAGAATGGAAAAAGGCTCAGTTCGGGGTAGCTTGGAGTTGAGATTTCTGAATGCTATCCAGAGAGCAATGCCTAGCAAGCAATTGACTGTATGAATCTAAGGCTGGAATCTGCAAAATTTTCTTAAAGGACCATTTAGTAAATATTTTAGGCTTTTCAGGCCATAGATCTCTGTCACAAGTACTCAACTCTGCCTTTGTACTGGGAAATAGACTGACAATATGTAAACAAATGTGTAAGTCTGTGTTCTAATAAAACTCTGTTTACAAAACAGTCAACATGCCTATGAGGAGGAATTTGCTGACTCCTGTTCTAAAGCCCAGATGTCATTTATTGATAAATTGATTCATTCATTCATTCAACAACTATGTGTTGAATACCCACTGTATGTCAGGCACCAGTACAGGCACTGGAGATACACTCCTCATGGAATGTATATTTTAGAAGATGTAGAAAAACAGTACTGAGAGTTAGTGAAATAGATGTGTTAGATGGAAAGGAACATTATGGAGAAAAAGCAGAGAAGGGGAATATGAAAGTTTGGGAAGTACCTTTGCAATTTTGAATATAGTCAGTAAAGGTGGAAGTAATGAAATGGGGAGGGCTTTGTAGAGAAGATTGTCTATGAGCAAGACCAATAGGAATTAGAGTAATAATGATTCATTCAGCTATCTAGGGAAAAAGCCTTCTAGGCTGAGGAAATAGTAAGTACGGAATCACTGAGGCAGAAGTATACCTGTCTTATTCAAGGTGTAACAAGGAAGCCAGATTTCCTACAGTGATTTAAGCAGTAGATGAAATGCAAAAGATGGGTTCAAAGAGATAACACAGAGAGAAAACAGAGTAATAGATCCTGTAGTAGAATTGTAGGATCTGTTAGAAGGATTTTGATTTCCTCGGCCTGAGAGAAAGAGGAACGTTTGGAGCATGGGAAGGACATGATTTGACTTGGGTTTAATGGGATTATTGTGGCTGCCTTGTGGAGAATAGCTTTGTGGTAAAAGAGTAGAAGCAAGGTGACTAATTGGGAGGCTATTTCAATAGTACAGTTTTCAGAAATGGTTGTAGTTGGATGAGGGTTGTAACAGTGAATATAGTGAAATGTGGTCCAATTCTAAATATATTTTAAAATCAGAGACCTTAGTATTTGCTGACAAATAATATGTGGAATGAGAAAAAGAGAAGACAAGGTTAGTAATCTGAACATTTAGAAAGATTAATTTGTCATTTAGTGATATGGGTCAGGCTGGGGAAAGAGCAGGTTTGAATGAAAAGAACAACATTCAATTTAGGACACATTAAGTTAACTATGCCCATGACGCATATGGGGTTAGAGAATAGAGCTGAATTAGAGAAATAGAATTATTCTTCAGTAGCATAGAGGTGATAGTTAAAACTACGAGAGTGAATACTCTTGTCTATGGAATACTTGTTGCAAAAGAATAAATATTAGACCAAGGATTGAAATCTAGGGAGTGCTAGTATTTGAAGGGCCAATATAAAAGATTACAAAACAGATTGAGAGTGATCAGTGATAGGAGAACTAAAGATTAGGGAGTCATGTTCTCATTGGTAGAAGAGAATTTTTTTTGTTTGTTTGTTTTGTTTGCAGTTTTTCTTTTGGCTGGGGCTGGGATTGAACCTGCCACCTCCAGCATGTGGGGCTGGTGCCTTACTCCTTTGAGCCACAGGCGCTGCCCCGGTAGAAGAGAATTTTAGGATGAAAGGAGTGGATGGTAGTTCTAACCCTCACTTCAATGGTTTCTTACTTACCATTGCAGATGAGAAAAAAATGTGTATATATATATATACACACACATATATATATCCACAAGCATTAATATATTTAATAGTTTTTAACATGTATGTGTGTACTTTTATTGGATTCCTATATAGAAATAATAAAGGAGAAAAATTAAACTTTGATATTTAATAAAATCAGCAATTCAGATCACTAGGGGGCAGAAATCGACTTTTTGTTAAAGAGTGATGGAACAATTGCTTAGACATTTGGGTAAAGGTAAAATTGAGTACATTTCCTACACTGTATATAACAATGTACTCCAAATGGTTCAGAGATCTAAATGTAAAAACTAAGAAGCTGTACAATTACTAGAAGAAAATATAGATAAATTGTACTTCAACTTTGGTATAAGGAATGGTTTCTATCCATTCAACATTTAGAGGCAGTAAAATAAATAAAAAACTTATAGATTTGATTATATACAAACAAAAATACTTACTCAATGGAAACATCATTAAAAACTCAAACGCACTGTACAGGGTGGTTTATGCCTGTAATCCCAGCTATTTGGGAGGCTGTGGCAGGAGGCTTATTTGAGCCCTAAAATTTGAGATCAGCCTAAGCAACATATCAGGTAGTGTCTCTTAAAAAGCAAAATACAATTTCAAAGAATTAAAAACAAGCCCAGGTGCATGTCAGGGTGCTTGCTCTGAGAGAGATTATTCTCCACGTTTTTGATTTAATGTTGTTTTCCCTTTTGGGTTTTAGGCTGAATTGGGACTAATTACCCCTCTTCTTACTTATTTGTCCGTTTTTGAATGAGAATGTTTATTCTATACCTGTCCCACCAGTGAATTTTGGAAGTAGAGACTTTTTTTTTTCATTTCAAAGTCTCACAGCTAAAGGGAATTTGCCTCAGGATGAATTGTGCCTCGAGTGTCACTCGTACATGATTTAGATCAATCAGACTTTGGACTTTTGAGTTAATTATGGAAAGTGTTAAAACATTGGGGTTCTTGGTATGGACTGAATGTATTTGCACGTGAGAAGGGCATGAATTTTGAGATTCAAGGGCAGAATGTTTTAGATGTGTCACCTGAAGTTCATGTGTTGGAAACGTAATCCCCCTTGCAACAGTGTTGAGAAGTGGGGCCTATAAGGAGATGAGGTCATGAGGGCCATGACCTAATGAATGGATTAACATTATTTGTTACCTTGAGAATAGGTTTGTTATAAAAGCATGTTCAGTTCCCTCTTACCCTTTTCTTTGCCCTTTCACCATTAGATGATGTAGCACATCACCTCTTGCCAGATGTGGGCACTTTCAAAGTGAACTTCCCAAACT